CTTACTTTGTTGGTTTTAAAATAAGGACCAGTTATACGTAAAACAAACAGATTTTTTTGTATATAAAAAAAAAAGCTTTAGAATTCCAATTTAATAGGATTTTTGATTATAACTACACAGATTTGACTTTCAGAGTAAAAATTCAAGACATTGGCAGAATAGATCCAGCTTGGGAGGCCCAGAAGCTGTCAAAGAACCAGGCTAGTGAAATGCAGTATGGCATAGTGGTTAGAAAATCAGACTAGGATCTGAGCTAAAGAACGTAGCTAAATGTTTTATTGCAAAATATATGTGATTTATTAAATAAAAAAATGCAGATTGATGCAAACATGAAAAAGACTTGTGAATTAAAATATGCAAAATGGACACAGGTCAGAAACAGACGGCTCTGTTCCTTCCTAGATGCTGATTTCTTTTAATCTAAAAGGAACTCACAGATAATTTTCTCCCCACCCCCCTGGCCAATTCCACCTCTTTCATTGGTATTTGAATAAAGAGCTTTGGCAGATAGCTAGAGAGAAAGTTGAAAGAGCAGACAGAAGTATCTGCCACTAACAGTGGCACTTAAGTGCATAGTTGAACTATGGAACCCACTCCCACAAGAAGCAGTGAGGACCACCAACCTGGATGGCTTTAAAAGAAGATATGGACAAATTCATGGAGGAGAGTAAGGTTACTGATGGCTGCTAGCCATGGTGGCTCTGTTCTGCCACCATTTCTGAGGCAGGAATGCTTCTGAATACCAGCTGCTGGAAATCACAGAAGGAGAGAGTTGTTCTTGTGTTTGAATCCTGCGTTTGGGCTTTCCTTTGGGGGCATCTGGTCAGCCACTGGGAGAACAGGATGCTGGACTTGATGGGCCATTGGCCTCTGATCCAGCAGAGCTCTTCTTATGTACTTCAGGAGAGCTGGAGCTGTGGAATTTTAAAAAAGCTAACTTGGGTCATGATTTGCAGCGTTTTGAAACAAGCCTTCCCCTCTCGGGCTGTTTAACACATGGCACCTGTCAATTTTTTATTTTTATTTTTTTAAAAAAGAGAGCTCCAAGTGTTTCTTCCTTGCACAGCCATAAACCTGCCTCTTGAGAGCTGGTGTAGCATGCTTTGACTGTCGTTCCTTGCACTTAAAACAGATGAAGACAAATCCTTGTAGAGATGGACCTGACTCATGCCAAAGATGGGGGGACCCCCCCTTCCCTTCACCCCCCCCCAGCCCTGTCTATGTTTTTTGCCACCACATTCATGTACAGACTATCTGGCTTATAGTAGGTGCAGAGTTGGATTCTTAACAATGTTTGTATGTAGAGCTCGTGTGTGGTGCAGTGCTGAGCATGCTGGAACTAAGACCTGGGAGAGACCAGGGTTCAAATCCCCACTCAGCCATGAAACTCACTGGGTGTAGCCCTGGGCCAGTCACTGCCTCTATCAGCCTAACCTACCTCTCAGGGTTGTGGTGAGGATAAAATGGGAGAACCGTGTACAACACCTTGAGCTCCTTGGAGAAAAAGATGGTATATACCATGGGTAGGCAAACTAAGGCCCAGGGGCCGGATCCAGCCCAATCGCCTCCTAAATCCGGCCCACATACAGTCCAGGAATCAGTGTGTTTTTACATGAGTAGAATGTTTCCTTTTATTTAAAATGCATCTCTGGGTTATTTGTGGGGTATAGGAATTAGTTCATTCCCCCCCCTCCAAAATATAGTCCTGCCCACCACAAGGTCTGAGGGACAGTGGACTGGCCCCCTGCTGAAAAAGTTTGCGGACCCCTGTGATATACAAATGTAACAAGTAAATAAATAATAAGGATCCTCTCCTTACTTGAGCTGAAGGCATTTCCCTGGTCACACTGGTTTCACTTTATAAAAATATATGCAGCAGCTGCTTTATTTTAAAAGGCAAGATGCAGCTTTTTGTTTTCTTTTTCTAAGCATTTACATGCACAGAATGATTTGGGACTTTAAGGGAGTCCTTGATCTGACTCAAGACACGTTGGAAGCAATGCAGTCAAACCTGGGCATGTGAAAACTGTCATCTGAATTGCCCCCGTTTGCGTCTTAATTCGGACTGCATGCGGGGTTGGTGTACACCCTTAACAAATACTCTGATGATGCATGTAATCCCATTTCCGGTTGAGGAAGTTGCGGGTGTTTAGCCTGGTTAAGAGGCAGCTGAGAGGACATATGATACCCACCATCAAATATCTAAAGGGCTGCCCCATGGAAAATGGAGCAAACTTGTTTTCTGCTGCTCCAGAATGCAGGACCTGAACCAATGGATTGAAATTGTAGGGAAGGATATTCTGACTAAACTTTGTGAAGAACTTTCTGGAAGAGCTTTTTGACCGTGAAGTTTACAGCATGTTATTCTTTGAAGAAGAATTATTTGAAAATGATTTACAGATGGTATTTAACTCCAAGTAGACTTGCTAAGATGTATAAGACTGAATCAGATAAGTGTTGGAGATGCAATGAGGTTTAGAGTATGTTTTTTCATATGTGATGGACCTGTAAAAGGGTGAAAGAATAATACTTTGGAAGTTGAATGGAATCCATTCTGGAAGTCTGTTCAACTTCCAAAACGTTCGGAAACCAAAGCTTCTGCAGCCAGTTGGAAACTGTGGAATGTTTGAGTTTCAAAAGAAAGTTCGCAAACTGGAACAATCACTTCCAGGTTTGTGGCATTCGGGAGCCAAAATGTCTGGGTACCAAGGTGTTCGGGATCCAAGGTCCAACTGTATTGGGAAATTGTTTATAATGAATTGAAAAATATGTTAGAAGTACTTTTCCAAACAGAGTCCTTTTTGTTGGGGATAATTCAGATGGAAATTCCTAGGTGTCAAAAAAGGCTATTTATGTATGCCACTAGTGCGGCCCATGTTTTGTTAGCCCCAAAATGGAAAACAAGCGAGGCCCCAACTAAAGAAGAATGGCAGCTTAAACTAATGGAATATCCACAGCTTGCAGACCTAACATATAGAATAAGAGAACCAGAACAACATACATTTAAAGAAGATTGGAAAATGTTTATTGAATATATGGGGGGAAACTGTGTACACTTGAAAACGCTGGCAGCATTAAGGTAAATTCAGCAATGTAAACAAGTTACGTTAATACATACAGTATTAATGGAATACTGAATGGTTTACTTTATTTAAAATATGCAGGGATTTATGATATGCAAATTGAACCATGGAAAGAGAAGAAGGGAAGTCATTGACATTTTAAGGTTGTTTAATGAATATTTTAAATTGTAAAATGAAAAACTTAATAAAAATTATACACACATACACAAAAGACAGTGAAATGGACTCCCTTGGGAGGTGGTGGACTCTCCCTCCTTGGAGGTTTCTAAGCAGAGACTGGATGACCATCTGTCAGGGATACTTAGCTGCGATCAGATGAGCCAACTCCTTGAGGCTGAGGTCCCTTTGGCCCCCCAATAAAATATTTGAGGGGCCTGGACCCTCCCCCCAAGTTGATGAGCATTGCCATTCAGTTAGTGTGTATGTGCCATGTCATGTGATCCATTATGTGGGGCAGGGTTTACTTGGGCCCCATAATATTTTATTCAGGTTGGCACCCCTGGCTGCAATTCCTCCATTGCAGGGGGTTGGATTAGATAATCCTTGGGGATAATCCTTGGATAATTGGGGATAATCCTTGGGGATAATTAGATAATCCTTGGGGATCCCATCCAACTCTACGATTCTAAGATCCTACGAAATATCCATAAGCATTTTAGTATGCATTTCTCCTAAGGTGCACATTTTCTACACACAATTTCCCTTGATAAAACGCATTTACTGTTGCTCTCGCTCTCACATAGGGAGCTTTAATTTGGGGGGGATTTTCCGTTTTACAGACTATAATGACAACAACAAAGAAAAAAATGCAAACATCATATCCCCTTTGACTTCCCTTCCCTCCCTTTTGTGGATCCTTATATTTTAATTTTCATTCTGCATCTCATCACTAACTCCAATTAGTATAAATCCTTAATCAATCCATAGTTAAAATTTTTACTACAAGTTTTCTGTCAAACCTACCAACAATTACAATAGTTTTTTGAATACATTGTATACTTCTCCCATTCCTTATTAAAGTTTGAATCTTCCTGGTTCCTAATTTCTTCCTGTAAATTTTGCAAATTCAGCATAGTTCATTAGTTTTATCTGCTACTCTTCCTTGGTCAGAACTGTTATTTTCTTTGCATCTTTTGGGCCAACAATATTTGGGCAGCTCATAGATGAGAGCTTTATGTGTTCTGTCCCTGAATATAGGCATCTTTGTATGCTGGTTTCAGTCTGATACCCACTTTGTAAAAGCAGAGAAGAGTGATGGCTGAAGGACATCTGTGTTTTAGACAGCACACATTAGGAAGGTTCGCTTTATAAAGGCATTTCCCCATCTCCATCTCACTCACCCCTGCAGAGGAAGGTTAGGCCCAGACTGCCTGTCGCCAGAGAGTTTTCTGCCTGCTCTTTGGCCGACCTGCTGAAGATTTACAGCAGTGGCTAAAGCCAACAGTTCCATCCTCCAAGCCCGAGGCCTGCAATCTGTGTAAAGAGAGCCATCTGCCTTGGCCTTCCTCTCCAGAAGGAGAAACCGCCCTATCTCTGTTCATCCCGACAGCCAGAGAATCTGCCTATGAGAGGCAAACCACTTTGCAAATGTGGATGACAAAGTGGCTTTGATCTGCCTCTCCCCAGCTGACTGTATCATGAGCAAATGGGGCTGGGTTTCTTCTTTCTTTCTAAGGACTCCGAAGTGTCCAAGAGGCCTTGAGTGCAACTCATTATGTGCTATGTTAAAAGTTAGCATGGGATCCTGCAGCGTGTTTACAAATGAGTTGGTTCTCTCCACCCTACTTAAGCAGCCTGACAAAAACAAGTCTTAGCTCAGGCTGAGCATAAGCAGTCTCTCCAAATCCTGCACCTTATATGCGAGGAGGGGAAAGGGGGCATTTTGCTGAATTGCCTACAGTGGGAAAGGGTTCAATTCTCCGCAATTTGGGATGGGGGGAAAAAACCCCCTCATAATTTATTTGACTCAGACAATGCAAAATGAATCTCTAGTGTTGATTCATTGCTTCTCTTCATCCACCAGCTTGAACCAAGAGAGGATGGCTGGAGGATCAAGCCCGTTGCTTCCTTCAGTGGTATTACACTAATATTCTAGTAGTGCAATGATGCTTCGGAATACCAGTTGCTGGAAGCCACAGGAGTGGAGAGGGCTCTTGTGCTCGGATCCTACTTGTGGGCTTCCCTTTGGGGCATCTGACTGACCACTGTGAGAACACAATGCTGGACTAGATGGGCCAGTGACCTGATCCAATTGCAAACTCGACTTACATTCTTATTTCCTCCTATAGTCTGAAGGTATATATATTCTGCTGTTTAGTACTCAGGCTGATGCAATCCTACATTGCCATTGGCTCCCTGAGTTTCATTTAGGGCAGAAGAAATTATGGAGTTTTTTGTTTTTGAGATTGGGGAAGTTTCTTGTACAAAGAAAAGCAAGCAATAAAAAAGAGAGGCAAAGTTGTCTGAGATAATTTAGCTTAAATTGTTGGGCTTTTTAAAAGAGTGCTTGATCATCATGGGAAAAAACATTTTTATGCACAGAAAACTTTAGGGAGGGCATCGTTGTAAATAGCAATTAATGCTAATAGATTCTGCCGGGCTGCTCTTGAGCATTAAAGGCAGGAAGAGAAACTTACGAGCTTATTTTTAATTCATTTGCAGCTGGCAATGTTGCAAGTTGTGGTAGGGAGATGATGCCACTTTTAAAACAGTTGGTGAGTGAAAAATTGGGACATAGCTTCTACTTCAAAAGAGATACTTAGCGGAATTTGGGGAAGGGAGAATACACTAGTGAGAGCTGCTTACACTTAACCATCAGTTATCGGCAGAGAAGAATTATGGAAAATATCACACAATATGACTAAGAATGACTTATAGATAGCACAGTTTATTGTGCAACCTAATTATAATGCATATTATTATGTTTAACTAGTGTTCATAATTAACTTACTCAGTTTATACCCCTCAACTGCCCCAATTTAAGCGGGACATCCTGAAATTACTGAAGCCATCCCAACTACTGACTGGATCCAGCAATGTCCTGGTCTTTGGTCTGGTGCTCTGGCATGTGTCAGCTGGCTCATGCCAGAAAACTAGACCAAAATACTCTTTTTTTTGTCTCATGCTCTTATGTGAATCAGCTGGCTTAGGCCAGAGTGCCAAATCGGGTCCTCCCTTAAAGAGGACACGTATTGCGGTGAGACCTGGACAACTGGCACCCTGTGTTGTGGGTGGGTACGTTTGGACAGCCACAACACCCGAATGGTAGGTCCCTCAAAGCTGTGTGCAACCTGGCCAATGGGACGCAGTCTAAATGGTTCGATGGACCTATTTATGCCCATGCACATGACCCAGAGCTCCCTCTTTCAGCGCTTGAATTCAGAACACCAACATTGTGTCCTCTGCAAACCGAGAGAGGGAGAGAGAGAGCGATTTACCTTTGGTGAATCATCCTGGTGATATCTTTTCGTTAGCCTTTCTTTTACCCTCTTTCCCCCCTCACTTTAATTTCAGGTTAATCCTCCCCACCCCTGCCCTACCCTGACTAAGAGGGGCCTTTGCCCCCACGGGGCCTCGGCCCCTTAGTGCCCTTTCGGAGCTTTTCACTCTTTTAATTTTCCTGGATTTTTCCCTCTTGCGGGGCTTGCTGCGGATTCCAATTTTATATATGTGGCTTCGTGCAGCGTTTGCTGATCCCTCATGAGCTGGCTGATCCGGAGTGCGGCGTTGCCGTGGCCTGAGAAAACCTCTGCTCAGCGGTTCGTCTTATTAATCTTGGAGGGGATTTTGCCCACGGGGCTTTGGCTGTTGGCACTTTTGCCTGTGGAGTTTCCTCCATTTCCCTGGGTTCTCCGAGCAGCAATTTTGAGCAGTTATAGCTGCGTCTTTCATTTAAAGAGCCTTGAACTGAGTTTAGTGGGGGTGAAAATATTTTGAGTTCGCTTGTTTTGTTCGCTGTTCCGCCTTCTGAGAGTTCCCCCTCTGTAAGCCTGGTGAACTCTGCACCCCCTCCCAATTTTAAGGCTGGTTGGGGAAACTGCTGGGGCCGGCGGCCATTTTCTCCAGCTTAATTTGGCGGGAGCGCCATTTGCACTGGTGATAGTGCAATTTCTGATGGGAGCACGATCTTGTTTTGGTGGGAGCGCCATCTTAATGGGTTAAGCCTTAATTATTTATTTTGTATTGTGGGAGAGCTTATCGAGATGCCAGTTAAAAGGAACCCTAGTCCTGCTCACCCTTCAAAAAGGGTAATTAGAGGCCCGCCTCAGTCGCAGTGTTCAGTGAAAGCCCCAGTAGTTCCTCAGCAAACACTGGATCGTCTGGGTTCTATTGTTGCCAATATTGGCTCAGACCCTGCGGCCTTGACAAGGTTGAATTCACAGCTTGAGTCATTGGCTCAGCAGTTTGGGAGGCAGCCTGGCCCCTCCTCTTCTTCTACTGTTTATGAAGTCCATGGTCCCTCTGATGCAAGTGAAGGGAGTGAGGCTTTTGATTCTTCTGGGGCTTTGTTTTCCCAGCTGCAGTTTTCCAGGATTCCAGTCCCAACTAGTCCCAGGGGTCGACCCAGGAGTATGGGTGGCACGGTTCAGCAGGCCTTTCAGCCCAGACTGCCACGTTTGCAGTCGGCACCCCCGGGTTCTGGGAGTTCAGGGCTTCCAGCAGCGCAGCTTATGGGGAGAGGAACTTCTTCTCAGCCTAGCACCTCACATGTTTTTAGTTCTGTTCAGGTGCAGTCGGTCCATCCGAGGGAGACGTTCAGCATCCACTCTTCTGAGGAGGATCTTCCAGGGCCCAGGGTCCCTTCATCCGGTGGCAAGGGGCAGAAGAGTCGTCGCTCCAAGCACAGGGCCAAGAGGCGGAAGGATGGCGATACCTCCTCTTCTACAGGTATGTCTTCTGAGACATCTGAGGATGAGTCAGATGTGACCCTGGGTCTTTATTGGGACCACGGCGAAGGGTCTTCGGGCCTTCCCAGGTGGGCTTGGCAGCGCAGAGGGAGGGCATCATTGTAAATAACAATTAATGCTAATAGATTCTGCCAGGCTGCTCTTGAGCATTAAAGGCAGGAAGAGAAACTTACGAGCTTATTTCTAATTCATTTGCAGTTGGCAATGTTACAAGCTGTGGTAGGGAGATGAAGCCAATGGTGTGGGCGAAGGTGTCTGCGGAAGGCACGCCTGTGGCGATGGTGGTGCAGCTCGGCGAGAACGATTTGCCGGAAGCTCCCAGCTTGAGCCTGCAGACCCGCATGCAGGAGGACTTGAAAGAGTTGAAGGCAGTTATTCCTGGACTCTAGATATTTTGGTCGCAGCTGTTGCAGCGACGTGACTGGCGAGGAAGCCGATGCCCAGCTGCCACCAAGAGGGCCAGGAGGCGCGTGCAGAGCGCAGTGGCCAAGAAGGTTCTGGCCTTGGGCAGGATGGTGATCCATCACCCGGGCATTACCTTCCGTGTTGCGTCCCTTGACAGGCTTGATGGTCTTCATCTGTCTGTGATTGGGATTGATTTATGGCTGACCTCCGTGTCAGCGGGGTTAAGGGATTGGTTACAGGTCTGAGTGGCTGCCGGCAAGCGCAGGGCTTGTGTGGCAGATAGGCTCTGGTTCTGGTGATAGGAATGGGAGAACGCTCTTGCCATCCCTATGTGAAGGTTATTCCATTAAAGGAATCCAGGGACTCAACTGGTTTGGTCAACCCCTGTGATGGGGTTGTGCCCGTGCCTGAGTCTAGGGGGACATTTGGGTGGCGTAGATAGCCCATGCCCAGCTTTCCGCTTATCCAGGTGTTCACCCTAGGCTGACCTATGCTGGTGCCCTGGGTCAATGCTACCTGCATAGCAGGGAGCTAGTCAAACCAGAGCCTCTGCAACCAGTCACTTTCTGTAATCAATAAAGCTGTGGCCTAAATTCTGCCAAAAACCAAAACCAAAATTTGAGTCTCGTGTGAATTTATTTAGGGGGGAGGTTTCTGGGTCTGAACACGCAAAACCAAAAGACACTCAATTTTTGGTTTTGCACTCTGGTGCGTGTCAAATGGCTCCTGCGAGAGCCTGGGACCAAAAAAGAGTGTCCCGATTTTGATCAGTTGGATGCTGATCAATTAATTAACACTTAATTATTTAAAAAAAATCAATGAACTAAACCTGAAAGGAGTTCCCATAATTGCCAGGTGAGATGAAGATGAGTTAAGATCACTGAAAGGTTCAGGACAAATAAAAAGAAAGTTTTTAATTCAGGGTATAGTTAAACTATGGAACTCGCTGCCACAGGAGGCAGTGATCGCCACCAACTTGGATAGATTTAAGAAAGGATTGGACAAATTCATGGAGGAGAATGTTATTGATGACTGCTAGCCATGCCTCTACTCTGCCTCTACAGTCAGTGCAGCCATGACTCTGAATATCAGTTGTGGAAAGTGCTGCTCTAGTGCCCAAATCCTGCTTGAAGGTTTCCCACAGAGGCATCTGGTTGATCACTGTGAGAAGAGGATGCTGCTCCACTGGCCTGATCCAAAAGGCTCTTCTCATGTTCTTATACAAGCTGCAGACTTCCTTCTCACCTGTCACAGAAACTGCTCTCTTTGCCCCACCACACACTAGAATTTTTTTGGAAGCAAACACTTTCTGCATGCTGCATGACAGTTTGTACAAATGAGGCAAATATATGGAGACTGACTTTGAGATCTTTGTGGTGAAACGGCAATTTGTTGTTCTCTAGTAAAGCAAATTGCAGATCAGTGACTACCTCATCATGTCAGCTGTCTTCATGCAAATAAAGCACAGTGAAAAATGAGCAGTGTCCTGAAAGGCTGGGTTATAGCAGTGGCTGCAAGGAATTCTGTTAAATGGTTGTTGTTTTTCTTAGCGTTCAGCTGCACAGATGAGTTTGCTAAATGAGAGTTGTCTCCTGGCAAATGTGTGAAATGGAGAAAGGAAACAGAGAAAAACAAAACAGTTTTGCTTTGAGAAAGATCACCCTAAACACTTCAAAACGACCTTGACAGATTAGAGAACTGGGCAAAAACAAACAAGATGAATTTTAACAGGGAGAAATGTAAAGTATTGCACTTGGGCAAAAAAATGAGAGGCACAAATACAAGATGGGTGACACCTGGCTTGAGAGCAGTACATGTGAAAAGGATCTAGGAGTCTTGGTTGACCACAAACTTGACATGAGCCAACAGTATGACGCGGCAGCTAAAAAAGCCAATGCAATTCTGGGCTGCATCAATAGGAGTATAGCATCTAGATCAAGGGAAGTAATAGTGCCACTGTATTCTGCTCTGGTCAGACCTCACCTGGAGTACTGTGTCCAGTTCTGGGCACCACAGTTCAAGAAGGACACTGACAAACTGGAACGTGTCCAGAGGAGGGCAACCAAAATGGTCAAAGGCCTGGAAACGATGCCTTATGAGGAACGGCTAAGGAGCTGGGCATGTTTAGCCTGGAGAAGAGGAGGTTAAGGGGTGATATGATAGCCATGTTCAAATATATAAAAGGATGTCACATAGAGGAGGGAGAAAGGTTGTTTTCTGCTGCTCCAGAGAAGCGGACACGGAGCAATGGATCCAAACTACAAGAAAGAAGATTCCACCTAAACATTAGGAAGAACTTCCTGACAGTAAGAGCTGTTCGACAGTGGAATTTGCTGCCAAGGAGTGTGGTGGAGTCTCCTTCTTTGGAGGTCTTTAAGCAGAGGCTTGACAACCATATGTCAGGAGTGCTCTGATGGTGTTTCCTGCTTGGCAGGGGGTTGGACTCGATGGCCCTTGTGGTCTCTTCCAACTCTATGATTCTATGATTCTAAGCAGGAACTTTGAGAAACACCATGCTAAATATATGAGGCCTTGGTGTGTGCTTGTTTCCTATAATTACAACAAATGTTGTGTTGCTTTGCTGTCCAGCATCTGCCACATATGTCCTGTCTCCTTCTCCTTCTCCTTCTCCTTCTCCTTCTCCTTCTCCTTCTCCTTCTCCTTCTCCTTCTCCTTCTCCTTCTCCTTCTTCTTGGGAGAATGTGCATTAATCCTAAACTTGATGAATGAGAGCCACTAGATTCCCTCCCAGTAAAGAAAGTGGAAAGTTGAGGGGGACAGCATCTTTAAGGATTTTGCACAAGGAATCAAAGTCTCAACACTTTTTCCAAGTAGATCCATTAATCTTGCATTATGGAAGTTATTGGCATTGTACATTTGGGAAAAAAAAGAGAGAGAAGGGAGGAATATTTGGTTGTCTCATTGCTTTGGGCCAAGGAGGGACCCCAGAAGAGAAACACAGCAGATAAAGTTAGCTTCTTTCTTTTCAGAAGAACATAAAATGAGGCTGTGGGATCAGGCCAATGGCCCATTGTGTTCCCTCAGTGGCCAACCAGATGCCTGTGAGAAAACCACAAGCAGAATCTGAACACAAGAGCCCTCTCCTCTCCAAGAGTTTCCAGCAACTGGTATTCAGAAGCATTCCTGCCTACAACAGTGAAGGCAGAACACAGCCATCCTGGCTGTCAGCCATTAATATTCTTGTTCATGACCTTAATGGAGGCAGCCCCCACTATAGTGGGGGATCATCAGGGGATGGAAAACAAGGATGACAGAAGGTAAATCATCCTTGCAAATTCTCCCCAGGGACGGGGGGAATGGGATTCACTCGCAGCTCGTCTTGGTACCTGGCTTTCACTCCGGCATGGAATATGGGAGGCAGGGAGACGTTAAGTGCAAAAGCCCTTCCCCTGGTGAAAATCCTCCTACGCTGCCATTAAGAAGCAGAGGTTCTCCATTTAATTGGATCTTTAATTGGCTTTAAAGTACCGGCACGTGATGGAAAGGGTTTGCAACAACATACAGTCACAGCTCAGAAGCTGAACAGTCTCCATTCCAGAAGTCCATTGGACTTCCAAAAAGTTTGGAAAGCAAAGCGCAGCTTCTGATTGGCTTCAGGAAGCTCCTGCAGCCAATCAGAAGCTGCAGAAGCTCTGTCGGATGTTCAGCTTCCAAAAATAGTTCCCAAACCGGAACAGTCACTTCTGGGTTTGCAGCGTTCAGAAGCCCAAACATTTAAGAACTAAGCTGTTTGAAAACCAAGGTACGAATGTACTGTCAAATATACCAGCTACAAGGATCAAATGTTTGAATTGAGATAAGATTTTCTTCGGTGTGAGAGTCGATTAGGGAGAGGGAAGTCCATGGTTTATTCTTAGTTTCTGTTAAATATTTATGAGTCAGCAACCCTCTTCAGAATATAAGATAAAAAGATATTTACAAGTGAGGAAGGGACGGTGGAGTAATGTTGATATTAACTAGCAAAAATGGAAACGGTGTGTGATCTGAAATGAAGAAAGGAGGGGGAGGAGAAGCTCAAGTATGACTGTGTTGGAAAGACAGAGTAATTCCCCTCAACTCCATTTAAAAACAACAGACAAGGAAAAAGAGACTGAGATTTGTGTGTGCTACTGACGGGTTGTAATCTAAGATAATGTTTACAGTGGTAACTCGGCTTACATACGCTTCAGGTTACATACGCTTCAGGTTACAGACTCCACTACCCCAAAAATAGTACCTCGGGTTAAGAACTTTGCTTCAGGATGAGAACAGAAATCGTGCTGTGGTGGCACGGTGGCAGCAGGAGGCCCCATTAGCTAAAGTGGTGCTTCAGATTAAGAACAGTTTCAGGTTAAGAACGGACCTCCGAAACGAATTAAGTACGTAACCTGAGGTACCACTGTAATTGGGCCATTAGTCTCTTGCTGGAAGGAAAATAATTTGCGGGCTGTGATAAGAATGCTGCAGAGATTCCGGGAGCTGGAAAACAGTATTAAATCTTCAGCGCATTTGAAAACTGCCCACCTTTTCCTAGGCTGAGAGAAAAATGGCAAAGATCTGTGACATGTTTTACTGGTGAGACAGAATGGTTTCTAGCAGACTGTTGCCTGTTCCAAGACGTCGAAACAAGGGACGGAGAGGTAAGACCTCTGAGAAACTTTGAGAGTCAGTTCTGCCCCAAGCCATGATGGGAGAAAACAACAGCTGGGAAGTGAAAGAGACAACACCATATATGGACAGAAGGAATCTCCATGGTTATAACAGTTTTCACACGCAGGGCAGAATAAAGATAATAGTTTGAGTTCCTCACTTGAAGCTTTATACATTTATATATTGTAGCATCACAAATGGAAATAACTATGTAGCTGTTGACTGTTGTTGTTGTTTAGTCGTTTAGTCGTTTCCGACTCTTCATGACCCCATGGACCGGAGCACGCCAGGCACTCCTGTCTTCCACTGCCTCCCGCAGTTTGGTCAGACTCATGTTTGTAGCTTCGAGAACACTGTCCAACCATCTCGTCCTCTGTCGTCCCCTTCTCCTTGTGCCCTCCATCTTTCCCAACATCAGGGACTTTTCCAGGGAGTCTTCTCTTCTCAAAGTATTGGAGCCTCAGCTTCACGATCTGTCCTTCCAGTGAGCACTCAGGGCTGATTTCCTTAAGAATGGATACGTTTGATCTTCTTGCAGTCCATGGGACTCTCAAGAGTCTCTTCCAGCTGTTGACTAAGGGATTATTATAACTGAGATATAACTGACATTAATTAAGATTATGGAACGCAGTGATATAAGATCAGAAATGCACCCAAACCATCATGCGGGGAGCCATTTTAACTAAAATGTATTAATTGGAAGTTGATTGGCACTTTGATAATTGTATAATTTGGGAATTGTTATTGTTATAATTTGGCTATTATTGGGGGTATATTGGAAAACTAATTAAAAAATTATATAAAGATATCCTTGTTCATGAATTTGTCTAATCCTCTTTTAAAACCATTCAAGTTGGTGGCCATCACTGAGTGAGTTCCACAGTTTAACTATGAGCTGCATAAAGGACTTTCTTTTACTCACCCCGAGTCTTCCACCAGTCAGC